TCTCAGTACCACTGAATTGTCTCCCTCCCTCGTATACTTTTCGAGACAACCATCCCCAAATGATTTCGATAAAATTCAGATCAGGTGAATATGGCGGCCACTCGAGCAACTCAACATTTTGGTCCTTGATCCACTGTTTTACAACTCTTGCGGTATGAATGGGAGCGCACTCCACACTATTTCGTCGCCTACACAACTGTGTTTTCGACTCAAAACACATTCTTCCTTTCGTAGGTCATGATAGTAGAAATCCATCATTTGTAGCCATCCGGTCCATCCAGGCTGAACTTTTATCATCGGAAAAAATTACATTCTTCCATTGCTTGTCCCAGGTCATGTGTTTTCTGGCAAATCGTAGGCGGCACCTTACGTGTGCCATTGAGAGGTGGTTTTCTTTTTATTTTTAGCCTCTTCAAATGCTTGGCACTCGGAATAATGCATTTTACCGTTGCTAAACTTGCGCTAACCCCGCATTCTTCCCTGATTTTGGCCGCAGAACCTTAGGAATTAGACGCGGTTCTAAGAATTAGTCTCCTTTCAGCTCGAGTTGTCGCATGCGGAGACCCTTCTTTCATATATTTGCCGTGAGATTCTTCATTGCGCACAAATTTACCAATAACATTTTGACTTCTTCAGATTTTCAGTGCGAATTCGCGCTGATTTAGGCCGGAATTATTTGATTAATTGACCCTTTTCAAAGTCATTTAATTGTTTTCCACGACCCATTCTACAAAAAAAACCGGCGGTAAATACTTCTAATTTTAATAGAAAACAAGATAGAACGCTACAGTCGAGCAAGCCCGACAGTAAAATAGCCTGTACTCTCCACAAAAAAGAAAAATTAAAAAAAAAATTAAATTATTAAAAAAAATGAATGAATGAATGAATTAATTAATTAAATTAAATTAGAATACATGTTTATGTTCAGTTTTAACAGCATACATTTACATCACGTACCTATGCGTGTTTATATGCGTGTATGTATGCAGCACAAAGTTGAACCAAAGCAGCAACAACAACAACAGCTGCGGGCAACGCTGCCGACAGAGCTGCAGGACACATTAGTACTAACTGGATGTACCTACCAAAATTTATTTCAAAATTCCGAGAATTACGGAAGTTATAAGAAAAAACATGAATTGCGGGAGAGTGGGGGGGTGCATCGAAAAAAAACTCAAACTCGTACTTTCTCGGTCTTAGGAGAATATGGAAACCAAGTTTGGTTATTCTAGCTCTTATACTTTCTGAGATCCTTGCGTTCATACGGACAGACGGACGGACGGACAAAGCTATATCCACTCGGCTTCTCATCCTGATCAAGAATATATATACTTTGTGGGGTCTGCCGCGCCTCCTTCTGTGTGTTACATACATGCGCACAAAACTAGTATAGCCTTGCACCCTTTGGGTACAGGCTATAAAAAGTTGGCACCATTTACTTCACGCTGTCGATCACAATGTAAAACTGAAGTTGTGAACCTATTTTGATGAGCCAAAAATATGCAGCGTTTTTAGCGAATGTAAAACGAAAGCAAAATTCCTAAAGTATGGTATGAAAAATCCAGTTACTGACACCGCAATCAGACACATAATCACTAACGGGATGTAGTTACAAAATTTTACTTCGAAATTCCAAAAATTACATGAGTTATGGAAAAAATACGAAAATACGAACTCAAACTCATACTTTCTCGGTATTAGGAGAATCTAGATACCAAGTTTGATTATTTTAGCTCATATACTTTCTGAGTTCATATACTTTTGCGTTCATATGGACAGACGGACATGGCTATATCGACTCGTCTTACTGACCAATAATATATTTCCTTTGCGGGGTCTGACACGCATCCTTTTATGCGTTACATACATTCGAATAAAACTAGTATACCCTTTTACCCTTTGGGTACAGGGTATACAAAAAATGTATGTGCAGTACAAGCCGAAATATTGGACGAAATTTTAGCAGCTTTCTTGGAACCTATTCTGTTGAACGGCTTGTGTACTTGTAAATATGTATGTATGTGTGCAGAGGAGTTGGGCACGGGCCGTGTTTTTTGTCGTGGCACTTGGTGCCACACGTGGGCCCGCGTGTTCGTGTTGCAAATTCCGATTTCGTGCGTGTTCGTGTTGAGCCAAAAAGGAACGACAAAACATGCACGACGAAACACGAACATAACCCAAAATAGAATGAACTACTAAAGTAATAGAAAAAAACGAATGTTAGGTAAATAATCGAAATATATCGATAATTCGATCACTTTCAAGCGTTTGTTCATATTAAGAACACAAGCTGTACACGTTTTTAGACAATTCATGTAACGATGTCCCAACAAGAAAGGAATGCTAAAGTCGAGCAGGCTCAACTCTTAAATACCCTGTACCACCCCACAAAAAAGTAACTTAATTAATTAATTAATTTAATTAAATAAATTAACTTAATTAATTTAATTAACTAAATTAAATATAAAATATTCTATGCATGCATACATATACATTTACATCAGAATCGTGCCTTATACGTGTTTGTGTACTTGTACATATGTATGTTTGTGTGCATTGGGCCTGGTTATATGGCTATAACTTTCTTTCCGATCATTCTATCATAATGAAACTTGGTATACGGATATATAATTACTAACCTAATGTGACTACCAAATTTTAGTTCAAAATTGCAAGAATTACGGGAGTTATAGAAAATCGTTAATAAGGGGGGAGTGGGGGGGTGGATCACAAAAAATGAACAAACTCGTCCTTTCTCGGTCTCAGGAGAATCTGTATACCAAGTTTGGTTATTCTAGCTCTTATACTTTCGGAGATCCTTGCGTTCATACAGACAGACAGACGGACAGACGGCTCGACTCGACTCGGCTTGTCATGCTGATCAACAATATATATACTTTGTGGGGTCTACCAAGCCTCCTTCTGTGTGTTCCATGTGCACTCGCACAAAACTAATATACCCTTGTACCCTTTGGGTAAAGTAAAATTGCAAGATGCAATCTGTAATAATGATCCGCGTTGCAAGTTAATTACGCCCGAAAAAAGAAAAGGCGTGGTGTGGAAAACGTTTGCACAAATTGAGTACAACAATAATCTGGAGGAATTTGTTTGCTGCAGCAAATGTAAAGCTATTTTTGCTTACACGTCGAAAACTGGAACAGGCACACTTCTGCGACACAAGTGCGCAAGGCCCATTTCACCTACACAATCAACCCTCAACGTATTTTCTAAAAAGTTTGTGCCGAATCATGTGCTTGAAAATCTTGCCAGAAAACAGCTGATGTTTGTGACAAAAGACTTGCGGCCACTCTCAGTTACAGAAGAATCGTGTATCACTTAACCTCTCAAATATAACCACGTGCATTTATACATACATAATATTAACGTTTTCAGGTATTGGATTAAAGGAGTATGCACAAGCAATACTTAACATTGGAGCGAAATATGGAACACAATTGATTGTATCAAGAAAAACATTATCAACAAAATTCTTGTCTGCGACATATGATAATATTAAGGCTAAGCTTAAGATTGACCTCGCTAAGCAGCAGTTGGCATTTACCACCGACCTTTGGACAGATATATATACACAGCGGACTTTCATATGTCTTAGTGTCCACTATATTACAGATTCATTTGAACTTAAAGTTGCTATGTTAGGTGTAAAAGAATTTGTACTTTCTAAAACAGGATCTAACATTTTGGAACAAGTTAACTCTATACTTGATGAATATGTGCTACGAAACAGTCTTAAGAGTAGTGTCGTAGTAACAGACAATGGTTCAAAAGTTGTTTCCGCATTTAGCCACCACAAAAGGCTTTCTTGTGCATATCACAATCTTAATTTAGTTATGCATGACATATTCGAAAAACAAGAAGTCAGTAAAATTGACTTACTAATTGATAGCTCCAAAAAATTGATAAAATATTTTAAACATTCAGAGCTTAATTGCAAGCTGAGCAAAACTTTAAAACAGGAAGTGAGCACAAGATGGAATTCAATCTATATTATGCTAAATAGCAGTTATGATGTTAAATCAGAAATCTAGCATTTGTTACTGGAACAAAATGAATTAAAACGTATTTCAGAGATTGACTTTGACCTGATGCATGACCTTGTGAATTTTCTCAGGCCATTTAAAGTATGCTCAGAGAAGCTTAGTTCTGAAAAGGAATCAACAATTGTCATATTTGCGTTGTGGTCTGAAAAGCTTAAGAACCACTGCGACGCTGTTGTAACAAAACTAAAGAATCTGACCTTAACTTCTTTAAAAAAACGTTTTGAACTAACCACAGTTCATTTATTGGGATTATTTTTGAATCCACCTTTTAAGGAAATGAACTTTTTAAGTTCCGATAAAAAGGGGCACGTCATTCTGACACTAAAATCGATGCTAGCTGAAATAAATGATAGCTTAAATAACGAATTAGCATTTGAAACAGAAAACGAAGCACCTAATAGTCAACGACTTTTCTGAATGATTTTCAAGAATGGATATTTAAATAGATGACTATATAAGTAGTGTTGTTGATCCAGGAATTTGTGTGCTAACCTTCTGGAAAAATGCAACAAATTTTGAAATGCTCAGGCAATTATCAAGACATATACTCAATATCCCTGTCAGCTCTGCAACAAGCGAACGAGTTTTTTCCACTTCTGGACATATTTTAAATGAGCGACGAACTCGGCTTCTTACCTCAAATATTGATAAGATAATCTTTCTTAATAAAAATTTGTAATGCATACATATATATATATATATATATATATATACATATAATTTGGAAATAGGAAATCATGAATAGCGGGGGAGTGGGTCAAAGTGGGTCATTGATATGGCTATATCGACACTCTTTTCAGCCTGATCAAAAATATATGTACTTTGTGGGGTCTGCCACGCCTCCTTCTGTGTGTTACATACATTCGCACAAAACTAGTATACACTTTGGGTATACCTTTGGGTACAGGGTATACGAATAGTGGATTTCAAACGACTTACCTCGCTTTGTTCGCTGGCAAACTCAGACACTTCTTCTTCTGATATTTCAGATATTTCGCTTTCTGAGTTCTTGCGTTTCTGTGCAGCAGCGATACGTCCGCGTCCACGGCGACTTGATACGGCTGCAACAGGCGGCCGCCCCCGCTTTGGTGGTGCAATGCGCTTACGTTTCGGTTTCTGAGAAGGTAAGACAGTCGAAGAGAAATTTTTTAGAATCATCTAAATCGGTCATTCTAAGAAAAATTATTAACAAAAATAAGAAAGGAATACTACAGCGGCCTCAACTCTTAAATACCCTGTACTCGCTCCAACAAAACAGAAAAAAAAAATTTTTTAATTTTTACAAAGTAATTTTAAAAAATTAATTTAAAATAATTAACTAATGTTTATGTACAGTTGTGGGCAGAGCTTGGACAGAGATTTATGGTTAAACCTCTTAGAAATCTACCTAATCACTAACAGGTTGTAAAACCCAAATTTGAATTTTAAAATTCGAAGAATAACGGGAGTTATGGAAAATCGCAACTCGTCCTTTCTCAGAATTAGGGGAATTCTGGATACCAAGTTTGGTTATTCTAGCTCTTATACTTTCTGAGATCCTTACGTTCATACAGGCGGACGGACATACAGACAGGCGGACATGGCTATATCAAATCGGTTGGTCACCCTGATCAAGATATACTTTAAGGGGTCTGCCATGCCTCTTTCTGTGTTACAAACACTCGCACAAAAATAGTATACCCGTTCACCTGCACCCCTTGCCGATATCGATATGATAAGAAAAAATGTGAAATTAAATTGACATGGCCCTATCTAATGAGTGTATGACGAGAAGTGATCGTTGAGAGTCTATCTGAAGAAGTTGCCACCGGCGCACAGACGCAATTATGTATTTCATTTTGTACCGTTTTATAAGTATCTACATATAAGTAGAAATATATGGATTTAGTTGTGTTAAATTAGTAAAAACACGAAAATTAACCTGTGTTTATTTGTGGTGCTCGAACTTTGATGGTATGGTATGGGCCTTTAGAGCCGGGTATTACAACTTACAATTGTAAAACTATACACCTAAAACAGGTAATAACATGGTCCTTCGATGCCTTAACTGACTGGCTCGAGGTAATAACGTGGTCTTTCGACCATCTGCATCAAAAATATTTTGTATATCCTATGTAAATATTATTAAATTAGTAAAACACTTAAACACTACTTAAAACACTAGCATTTTCACAAAGAATCCAAAACAACCGCACAATAGAGATGCCCCTTTGGCCCAAATGAACATTACATTTTTTGAATATCACATTTTGCTGAGTCTTGTTTTGTGAGTCAAACGAAACTCAAAGATAAAATATAGATTTCATGTAATTCTTGTTTCAAATAAGTACCACATGACTGTGTATTAATTAAACAAACTGGGCGAAATTTGTGTGTCGGCGATTGGGCAAGTCTGTTTGTTAGGGAAAATGTTAATGGTCATAAGCTGCCATTTGAATACAATACGAACCAGGGAATCAAAATGTATGTACATTTTTGTAATTTCTGAATTAAATTTCAAATGCTAGTTTTTGCAAATCGTCGATTTTACCTCTTTTGGTATTCGAACTCACGTAAAGGGTGTATAATTGCCATATACAAAGTAATTGCGTCTATGTGAGTGTATGTATGTATATGCTCGTATATTCGTGTCTGTGTAAACATGTTGGCAGTCAACCAAACAGCAACATCAACAACAGCCGCGGGCAGCGCTTGAGCAGCGCTGCAGCAGCAAATATATTTATGGCTATAACTTCTTGTTAAATCGGTCTATCATAGTGGAACTTGGTATACGGACACATAATAACTAACTGAAGGCATTTGTACATAAAATGTACAAGAGTATATTAGGTTTGCGGGAGCTGAAAAATGTAACTATATATATTCTTGATCAGCATGACGAGACGAGTCGATCTAGCCCTGTCTGTCTGTCCGTCTGTCCGTATGAACACCTGAATCTCAGAGACTATAAGAGGTAGAGACACCAAATGGCACAAAGATGCGTTATATGTGTACGCTGTGCAAGTTTGTTTTATTTTTTTGATTTTCCCCACACTTCCCCCCTATGGGGGTTTTTCCGATTTTCCATTCGTATAATCGCCTATATCTCGGTGACTATAAGACCTACGAACACCATATTTTAGTCCCAGATGCCTTATGTGAATACGCAGAAAATGTGCATTTTGGAATTTCCCTCCCTCCCCCCTCTCCCATGCAAATCGCGATTTTCTCTAACTCCCGTAATTCTTGGAATTTCGAACTAAAATTTTGCTAATACCAGTTAGTAACAGTTAGTAAATATGTGTCGGTAGGCCAAGTTTCATCATGATAGACCGATTTAACAAGAAGTTCTTGCCATAAATATATTTGCTGCGACAGCGCTGCCCAAGCGCTGCCCGCGGCTGTTGTTGATGCTGGTGCTTTGGTTGACTGCGAACATGCTTACACAGACACGAATAGACGCGCTTAAACATACATACACTCACATAGACGCAATTGCTTTGTATACATATGTGCAATTATACACCCTTTACGTGAGTTCGAATACCAAAAGAGGTAAAATCGATCAAAAAAAATTTTTTTTTTAATTCTCTTACTTTTTTTAATTTTTATAAATATTCTAAGCATATGTACAGAGTATTTCAAAGTCGGGACACCCGACATTAGCTTTTTTACTTGTTTTCTATTTAACATGGTACGTTACAGATTTTAAACACAATTAGTCAGTCAAATGTACTCGTCGACAGTCGGCTGTTGCTGAAAGCTAAGTGCGTTAGAGGATTTTCCCAAAATAAGTCAGTTGTTGCTGACAGCTGGCTTGGAGGTTCGAAAAAGTGAAATCTTTCGAAGTGCTGTAGCACTGACGTATTTTTTGGGAGTTTTCAAAAACAACTATATCCGAAACCACAAGAGTTTTCTGTCGCATCCCTGTATATAATTGATATTCTAAAAGAAAGATTTGGTGATCGAATCATATTATACGACATTTGATAGAACAAGGTCAAAATTTTCCAGCTGTAAAAGACTTGGAGAAAATAATCAAATCTATATATATAAAACAGTTTGTCCTGACTGACTGACTGACTGACTGAATGATTGGTGATCAACGCACAGCCCAAACGGTAAAGGCTAAGTTGAAAGTTGAAGTTGAAATTTGGACTCAAGTATCCTTTCATAGTCTAGGTCCCCACTAAGAAAAATTATTAACAAAAATAAGAAAGGAATACTACAGCGGCCTCAACTCTTAAATACCCTGTACTCGCTCCAACAAAACAGAAAAAAAAAATTTTTTAATTTTTACAAAGTAATTTTAAAAAATTAATTTAAAATAATTAACTAATGTTTATGTACAGTTGTGGGCAGAGCTTGGACAGAGATTTATGGTTAAACCTCTTCGAAATCTACCTAATCACTAACAGGTTGTAAAACCCAAATTTGAATTTTAAAATTCGAAGAATAACGGGAGTTATGGAAAATCGCAACTCGTCCTTTCTCAGAATTAGGGGAATTCTGGATACCAAGTTTGGTTATTCTAGCTCTTATACTTTCTGAGATCCTTACGTTCATACAGGCGGACGGACATACAGACAGGCGGACATGGCTATATCAAATCGGTTGGTCACCCTGATCAAGATATACTTTAAGGGGTCTGCCATGCCTCTTTCTGTGTTACAAACACTCGCACAAAAATAGTATACCCGTTCACCTGCACCCCTTGCCGATATCGATATGATAAGAAAAAATGTGAAATTAAATTGACATGGCCCTATCTAATGAGTGTATGACGAGAAGTGATCGTTGAGAGTCTATCTGAAGAAGTTGCCACCGGCGCACAGACGCAATTATGTATTTCATTTTGTACCGTTTTATAAGTATCTACATATAAGTAGAAATATATGGATTTAGTTGTGTTAAATTAGTAAAAACACGAAAATTAACCTGTGTTTATTTGTGGTGCTCGAACTTTGATGGTATGGTATGGGCCTTTAGAGCCGGGTATTACAACTTACAATTGTAAAACTATACACCTAAAACAGGTAATAACATGGTCCTTCGATGCCTTAACTGACTGGCTCGAGGTAATAACGTGGTCTTTCGACCATCTGCATCAAAAATATTTTGTATATCCTATGTAAATATTATTAAATTAGTAAAACACTTAAACACTACTTAAAACACTAGCATTTTCACAAAGAATCCAAAACAACCGCACAATAGAGATGCCCCTTTGGCCCAAATGAACATTACATTTTTTGAATATCACATTTTGCTGAGTCTTGTTTTGTGAGTCAAACGAAACTCAAAGATAAAATATAGATTTCATGTAATTCTTGTTTCAAATAAGTACCACATGACTGTGTATTAATTAAACAAACTGGGCGAAATTTGTGTGTCGGCGATTGGGCAAGTCTGTTTGTTAGGGACTGACTGACTGACTGAATGATTGGTGATCAACGCACAGCCCAAACGGTAAAGGCTAGGAAGCTGAAATTTGGACTCAAGTATCCTTTCATAGTCTAGGTCCCCACTAAGAAGGGATTTTGGAAAACTCGAGCTCCAAAGGGGGAAAACAGGCTCCAACGTTTGTATGAAAAATCTACAGTTTTCATCTGATTAACTTTAAACTTAGTTTGTATACTCCAATTCCAATTCCAAGAAAAACTGTTTACTTGGTTTTTTCATATTTTTTTTGGGGCCTAAAATATGGGAGTTTTCCTGTAAAAAAAATGTTGGGGCACAAAAGCAAACCGCGTCAACAGCCCACAGCCCACACGGTAAAAGCTAGGATGCTGAAATTTGGGCTCAAGTATCCTATCATGGTGTAGATGAGCACTAAGAAGGGATTTTGGAAAATTCGAGCTCCAAAGGGGGGAAAATTAGCTCCAAAGTTTGTTTGAAAAATCCGCATTTTTCAACCAATCGACTTAAAACTTAGTTTCTAAAATCAATTAAAGGATACAAACAAAACTGCATACTTAGATTTTCGAAATTTGTGTTGGAGCTTGAATTATTGGGGTTTTCTTGGGGCACAAAAGGAAACCGCGTCAACAGCCCACAGCCCAAACGGTAAAAGCTAGGATGCTGAAATTTGGGCTCAAGTATCCTATTATGGTGTAGATGCGCACTAAGAAGGGATT